TCTGCGCAGTTGGTCTTTCAGACGGCCCCAAAAGAATTTCCTTGAGTATGCACTCATCCAGCATAAGGATGGCGTTACTTGCCCAATGGGTCTGTGCTCTCATTAGCAGTGTATGGATTGATGATATTGATGACTTGCTATAGAGAAAACTTCATTTTTTGAAATTTTATGTAGTCATTGGATGCCTAATATTCTGTGAAGACAAGTCGTGTGGAAATGGTTAGGTGTCTTGCCTCCTTTGATACACAGACCATATTTCACAGGCATACAGAAGGGTAGTGAGTATCACAATTCTATACCCTTCAATTTTGCTGCTGCAATAATCCTTGATGTTCCACACAATGAGTCTACCAAAACTAGAACTTGTCTTTGCTGTTCTGCAGTAGACTTTTGTATTTGTGGTCACTAGTCAAGAGAGAGGGTGCTGCCAAAATAATTGGAATTGGTCCACTGCCTGTAGTTTCTGTTCTTTAATCATGATTTGGGGTTCTGTGTATGGTGTATGAGGACTAGGATGGTGCATGACCTCAGTCTTTTGATACCGATGCCGAGTCCAAAATTGTCACAACTATAGAGAATTTGTCTACACTGGTTTACTTCTCTGGCTGGGAGCCAGCATTCAGGACGCGGCCACCGGCAAAGAGGAAATCTCTCAGTTACTTTCACTTTGGTAATAGCATTAGGTCTCTTCAGGTTGAATAACTTCCCATCCACTCTGTACTTGAAGCTGATTCCAGCATCACTGTCATGAAAGGCATCATTCATCATGGCAATAAACCATGCTGAATAGGGTGGGTACAAGCACACAACCTTGTTTAACACCATTGGTGACTGGGAATGTCTTAGAGCAGGAATGTCCAACTTTTTGGCTTGCCTGGGCCACATTGAGTGAAGAGTATTTGTCTTTGGTCACATATAAAGTTTACAATATAGTTAATGTGTATACACACACACACACACACACACACACAGTATATATGTATAAATAGTGTTAAAGGTTTATGACTTATCTTGTGGGGTTGCACTGCTAGCTGTCCAGGGCTGCATGTGGTCTGCAGGCCGCGGGTTGGATATAGCTGCCTTAAAGGGATTTTCCACCATCCAGCACTGTGTCCACTATGGCAGGGGTCCTCAACCTTGGCAACGTCAAGACTTGTGGACTTCAATTCCCAGAACTCCTCAGCCAGCAAAGCTGGCTGGCATACCATCTGAATTAACTTGGTAGGGCAACCGAACATTGACATGATGCTCCATAGGCTTTGTCGGCTGACGGTAACAAAGGCTTTTGTGAGGTCAACAAAGGCTGTATAGCATTCAGGGTTCTGCTCCTGACCCTTCTCCTGAAGTTGGTGCACAGCAAAAATAATGTCAGTAGTTCCACAATCTCTGCAGAAGCCCCACTGTGACTTTGCAATAAGCCCAGCAACAAATGAGTTTCAGTGTCAGTGGTGGATTGAAGTTGTTTCTGAGAAGAAGGAAGTAAAAATGATGCTAGTGTGGAAAGGATCTAAATGTATGCAGTGTCAAACACTGGTGTTGAGTTGACATTCAGCCTGCCTCTTCTATCCTATGTCAAGATGCTTCAGAAGCTCAGTTATTAATAGTGAAGGAGGGACTATTGTGTGGAGCTAGATAATAATAATTTATTATTATTATTATAATTATTATTATTATAATTTAATTTATATACCGCCCTTCTCCCGCAGGACTCAGGGCGGTGCACAGCGTATTAAAAACAGTACAAATACAAAGCATAAAAATACAAACCCCTGTAAAACCAGATTAAAAAACCGAATATTAGAAGCTGTGTCTCTATTTAAAATTATTTTTAAAATCACCCTAAATA